AATGATGGTTTCTTTAAAATGACTTTTTGTTTAATCATGTGTCTTCTCTCTCCTATCACCTACCTATCATATCTTTTTGTATCTTGGTTCATGTGTAGACATAGTTTCTTGTATAAGAAACAATTTACTCCTCTCTCTCTCTCTCTCTCTCTCTGTGTGTGTGTGTCTGTGTCTGTTCCAATGTCGTATCACCATTTTGCTTAGTTGACACTCAAATTGATGACTTGGTTGGGACTGCCCTATACAATGTAGGACCTAATTTTTGTCTTCCTCTCTCTTGATTATCTGATGTCTTATTACCCGATTGAAACAAACTTGGGTGATCTTTAGGCACGGGTTTGGAATGTGGAAGTTTTCTCTATTCCTGTATTTTTCTTGTGAAATTGAAGTGGTTGATGTGAAATTCCTATGTTCCAAATGGGCCATTAGTGTTAGAATTAATTAGGTTCATAAGTTAGGATGGTGGAGGTCAAATAATGCTGATAATAAAATCACGCCGAAGTTGTTGGGCCATAGTTCTTCTAGACGGTTCTCCAAAGTCTAAGGCAAGCTGCAATTGCGTGGTGGCAGTGGGCTGTGAGTGCCTGAGTTCATCCGGGGGAAGTGCAACATTTGTTTCTGCACGTAGAATATTTTCCAGCTGCCACTTAGTGGTAGAACACTTTTCTTGCCCAGGAACATCCGTGATGAGGGAAAAAAAATTCTATAAGACAAAAAAAATTGGGTGTGCAACAGGAAGCCCTCGTAAATATTCTCGATTGAGGCTTATCGTGAGGTAGGAGGGAATAAGGTTATCGTTAATTTGTTATTATCTCCGGATCAGGTAGGTGATGGGCGTTGGATTTTGGTCCGATGACCGAGTCGTCTGAAACGCCGAAATGATCACCGATCTACTCTGACTTGTACGGAGTGCATGCCTCTCCAGTTCTGACAATTTGATTTGGATCAACCTGGCGTGCAGGCCTGCTACCAAACGGGCATTTTGAGCAAGGACCAGCCAAGTCGGAGCTGAACGGCACCAGGGTGCTAGGCCGCTACTCCATACCGCACTGGTCGATCTCAGGGTTCGTGGAGTACATCGAGTCCGGCCAGAAACAGGACGACATGCTCCTCCAGGTTCCGGAAGGCGAGCGCGCCGTGCGGCTGGGCAACGACGCCACCATCCAGCAGCAGCTAGCGGTGACCCGGCACACGTACTACTCCATCACCTTCTCCGCGTCGCGCACCTGCGCCCAGGACGAGAGGCTGAACGTGTCGGTCACCCCGGGCCCGGAGTCCGGCGTCCTCCCCATCCAGACCGTGTACACAAGCAGCGGCTGGGACTCCTACTCCTGGGCCTTCAAGGCCAAGCACAGCACCGTGTGGCTCTCCATCCACAACCCCGGCCACGAGGACAACCCTGCGTGCGGCCCCCTCATCGACCGCGTCGCCGTCAAGACCCTCCGCTCTCCCCATCACGTCAAGAGTAAGACCGATTGCTCTTGCTCATGCCTTTGATGAACTTCTTACAGTAAAGAAATTAGCACTCACACTTGAATTACGGCATGAATATGTATAATCTTACTGAAGCAGACAACATGTTGAGGAACGGAGACTTCGAGGACGGGCCGTACATCTTCGCGGACACGCCGTGGGGTGTGCTGGTTCCGCCGATCACGGAGGACGAGCACTCGCCGCTGCCGGGGTGGATGATCATGTCGGACACCAAGGTCGTCAAGTACGTGGACGCGCCGCACCACGCGGTGCCGCGCGGCGCGGGCGCCGTGGTGCTGGTCGCCGGCAGGGAGTGCGCGCTGGTGCAGGAGGTGCGCACCGTGCCCCGCCGGTCGTACAAGCTGTCCTTCGCCGTCGGGGACGCGGCCGACGGGTGCCAAGGGTACCTGGCCGTGGAGGCGTACGCGGGCCGGGCGACGCTGAACGTGCCGTACGAGTCCAGCGGCACGGGCGGGTACAAGCGCGCCGAGCTCGAGTTCGTGGCCAGCGACACGCTGACGCGCGTGGTGTTCCAGAGCGCGAACCACTACATGATGTCGGACGCGACGCTCTGCGGCCCCATCATCGATGACGTTCGGCTCGTCCCCGTGCACGCCCACATGCACGCTGCCCGCCGGCTGCGTAGGTAGAGGACATCTTAGAGCTTGTTTGGAAGAGCTTTAGTTTTGAAAACATTAATCTAGAGCACCAACTCCACCAAAGAGCACTATCGTATTAAGTTTTTTTCGAGACGGACAAACATAGTTTTCAAAGGCGGTATAGGTTGTGCTAAACGCTAAATTGTGATCATACATATCACTACTCCATTCAGCTTTTTTTCCAGAGAGAGTCAAACAGGCGGTCTGGAAGTCGCGCGCCTCTGATGGCAGTTCTGTGAAAATCAAGATTTGCATAGGAAGAGCGAAAGGTGGACTATGAAAAGATATTTTTAGAGGTAGTATCGCATGACACTTGTCTCTGGAAGTAAAAAACAAAACAAATAAGCCAAAATCCATCCTCTTCCCACTGCTCCGGTTTCTACCGGCACTACTATCCTTCAGCTGCTTCTCCTGCCCGGGGCTTTTCTACCACCCGCACAGGCAGGGTCGATCCACTCGTCACATTAATAATCTTTTTTTAATTTATTGGTGTTCTTTATTTTTCGAATAAGTATGATTGGTCATGACTTGTAAGATTGTCTGTGCTTGGAAATATAGTGAGGAATACCATATTTTGGAAGTGGAGATTGATAAAATTAAAATCATGGTTCACTTGCAAACTTATTTAATTTGATGCATTGTTCATAATATTAATATATTAGAGCTACTCCGAGAGACTTGCCATTTGCCTCCGCATATTCCGATTTGAATATCTTGATACAAAATATGTCTTCAACATGACTGTCCATCTCATTGTCTAAAAGTAGCGTTTTTTGCTCGGCAAAGAAAAATACCGGGCTCGTTCGCCAAACCTGCGTGAATTGCGCGGCAGCGGCCTCTTCTGCACGTCATCTCCATTTCCCACGACGCTGAGCTTCTCGGCCACGAGCACCATTGCCTTCTTCGTCGGAACGGCGCCGGCGGCGGACTCCCGGGCAGGGGCGGTCGAGCGGTAGCGGCCACCGACGTTGCCCGCGACAGACTCCCGGGCGGGGCCGAGCGAGCGGCAGCGACCATCATTGTCGCCTGCGGCGGACTCCTGGGCCCGTGACACGGACTCCCGGTCGAGGGCATGCGAATGGCAGTGACCACCGTCGGCTTCCCTGGGACAGACTGACGATGGGCGGGCAAGCGTCAGTGACTCTCGGATAGGGGCTAGCGAGTGGCAGCGGCGGACTCCCGGGCTCACGGCAGACTCCTGCTGGAGGGCGGGCGGCAGTAGCCACCATCTTGCTTCCCTACGACAGACTGAAAGATAGCGGACTCTGGACGGACGAGCGGCAGCCGTGACCATCGGTTCCCCCGTACGGACGGAAGACGATGATAAGGAAGATGATGATTTTTCTTTTGGTGATGAGTGGGCTCCGAATACCAATTTTTACCTGAAACTGTTGGAGTAGTCCAGTTTTTTTGTGGCCTTTTATTTTACAAAATAGCTAAATTATCAAATTTAGAATATCTTTTTAGCAAATCTCTTGGAGATGCTCTTATTATGATATTTTTTAATATTGTATCTTATCTTCTCTAAAAGTGTTAGATAGTATTCATGGTTTATTGTTATAGAAAAAAACTATGTTGACCAATACTATCCAATGGGCCCTCAAGGCCATAACATCTAGGGAAAATGGGTCTACCCATGGCCCATAAAATTAGCCTTGAGGCCACAGGGTCGGGTCCAATGACAGGCCGGGTCGGCCCGTTCCCATCATGAAGAAAAAGGAACGTGGCATTTACATTTTCAGACATGTGTCATGCCTTTACGGCCTTCTTCGTACACTGTACTTGCCCACTGGGCCGGGTGCATGCACAACTCACTGCAGCCACACAATTCATCTGAGCCAGTAAAATTAGTCAATATGTCCATTTTTTTGTATCGAGCTGCACAGATAAATATACTGTATCTACATTTCTTACTTCAGATTAAACCTCGATTGGATCCTCACACGTTGTATACGTTTCAGAGATTCTTTTACAAGCTAAGGGTGTTTCACCTAGAATCTGTTAGTTATGGCGCAGTTTTTATATGGATTCTCTTTTTTCTACTACTTTTTTCTCGAATACACAAAAGATTTATGTATCATTGTAATTAAGAAGAAGAGTTTAACCGTACAAACGACACGCTTCTGAAGAGCACGCTAGGTGGTCTCACAGCTATTACTGGACCAACCTATCTAACAAATTGTTACAAACTTCAATATTACATAAATGGTATACACCCGAACTAAGAGCACCGCTGCAACCTAAGGAGTTGGTTGTATATATGACAGTGAGTCGTCCATCCATATTTGCGCATTTAGATTTTCGAGTGGTGATGTGGCACGTACGCAAACAATTTCTGCACATAATATAACGTCACTCATCATGACCCTAGTGAATTGAAGTGTTCCCCCTTACGACACCGAAGGGCCCTCCTGCTCATCATATCGTGGAAAAAAGGAGTGAACTGTATTATCTGCTGATTTTTGCAACGTGGATTATCCTAATTGAACCATATATATATATATATAAAGGCAGTGGACTGCATGGATTCTATCAGCTGATTTTTTGCAACGTGGATTATCCTAATTGAACCATATATATCCCAATATACAAGTATGAAATAGATAAAGCCAGTGGACATGGATTTCTTAGAAATTAAAACAGTCGATCTGTTTTCTTATTCTTAATCGCAATTGTAAATTTGTCTGTGCAACATTATCAGATATATGATGACAACAAATTGAAGTTTCTAGCTTAGTGAAAAAAAAGTAAATAATCATGAGCTTTTGAGAGTTCAGCAAAATCACTGCCCATAAAATGTTACACCAGAAACAATATATTGTGCCATTATATAAGCTATGATTTCACGCTGCTGCTCCCCTTTATTGTTTATTTGATGATAGGCACACTGCAGAAATGCAGAGTGCTGGAAGCAAGTACACAACATATATATGAGCGATGAACAACACATCCTGGGTCCAACAAAAGCTCCGGGAAGAGAATAAATTTAAAATACTAAATACTCATGAGGTTTTCTCCTGACTGAGCGTGAAACAAAGCTAGTCGGAAGAATACTGTCGTGGTCAACGTACATACGTGCATGCAGAGCTGTGGCTCGATGATGTTGGTCTGAACTCTGAAGACGGAACCTCTTCAGTGCCCAGGGCCTCTAGGGGCTCGGCCCTTGGGTGAGCTGCGCTACCCACGCCATGATCACCGACCTCGCCCTCTCATGCAGCATGCGGTGGCCGGCGTACTGCCCCTCCGGCAGCCGCCTGGCCGCCTCCACGGAAGTGAGTACAGTGGAGGAGAGAGCCACGGCGAGGAGCAAAACGGTCATCAGGATCCCTGCTCTGAACTCGGACATCTTGGGCGAGAGCGAGGTTGATGAAGAAGCCCTACACTTTCTTGTTCTAAAGACCTTGTTAGACAGTGCTACTAGTTTTTTGTAGTAAGCTACGTATAGACACAAACTAACAGGAGTTTGTGTGGGTGGTTAGATGGCTTCTGTGTGGCAATGGCATGGCTGTATATATAAGCCCGTTGCACGAGAGAATTAGTTTGTCTGGCATGTTCGTGTGCAGTTTAAAAAGCATTTCGTTATCCCCTAGCTACTGCTACGCCTCCATCGGTCCATCCTCCAAGCGTATAGAACTGCATTGCTTGCATAGAACGAATCTTTGATCTGTGAGTTTGCCTTAATCGCGGGAGGAAAAACGAGGCCGATCGCTCGTCTTTTCACGCGCGGACAGTGGGCAGTTTGCACTAGCTAGTAAACTAGCTATAGAGCATGCAGTTTTTGTTGTAGCTTGGTTTCGGAGGTGGACAGTTTGCACTAGCTTAGTTTCGCTGGCATTATAGGAAGGACGACGATCATGTGAACCATGCAAGGCTAAACTGTTCTTATGTTCTTATAAACAACTAGATACTACATATGTTGTAAAAAAAAGAAACTAGATACTACATATGTGAAAGATCTAATTATCTGAGCTGGAGTCACTAATATAATTTGGGGGAAGATGTAGTGTAGTGTAGATCGGTAATTTATTTTGTGGTAGGGTATATATGAGCATTTGATAGCTATGTATCCCCCCCTCTATATATTGTATTCAATATATATAAACAACCATTATCTCCAAGAAAAACTAGTTGTCTTGGAATGTAAGGATATATAACATTCTCTATTTTAAATTATAAGATGTTTTAGCTTTTTTAATATGTTGTTTTTACTATACATCTAGATATAGTGTATATCTATATGTTAAGACCATAGGAACACTAGGATCATAGATCTAGCCATAGACTGATTCTATTCAAGATAAAATAGACGTTGTACATCCTAGTGCTTGAGGCGGAGAGGGAAGGGGAAAAGTACCGAACCTAACACTGCAGAGGGGGAGGGTTCAGGGTCGTCATCGGGTTCGTTGATGTAGTCTGCGCACGGGCAGTGACGGTCGGGGAAGACGGGTCGGAGATGCGGTGCCGGCGGTGAAGATCGACGGCGGTGCAGTGCAGCGATGGAGGTACTTCCCGTCACTGGCTGCGCCCCTCACTTAGATCGGGTTTAGGGTTTGTCGGCTCAGGTCAACCTCGTGATAAGAGCCACCGGCCCCCACCTCTTTTTATAGCGCAGGGTGATAGGGGCCCTCCAGCCATGGTGGGTTGGGCGCCCCGATCGAGGCACAAATCAAAGGCCCAACTGGGCCGTTGGGTCCAGTTAGGTTAGAGATCAATTTAACAATCTCCTCATTGATCTTTTTCCATCTTTCACTTTCATATCATTTACATTTGTTCATTCCATTACAGATTAGCGCATAGAGCATGTCTCATCGTCACGGTCCATTGCTGATAGATTTAACAGCTACAACACACTACTCTGTTCTGAAATAGATACTTATCTTTGGGCCTTCTTTTGTTCAGGAATTATAGGTTTTCCCTTAAACCCATGCCGACTACATGTTCTCTGAACAAGTTGGGTGGTAAGCCTTTTGTAAGCGGATCTGCGAGCATCTTTACTGTACTTATATGCTCAAGACTAATGACTTGATCCTGGACTTTATTTTTCACAATATAATACTTTATGTTAATGTGTTTGGCAGCACCACTTGACTTATTGTTGTGAGCATACTGTACTGCTGGATTATTATCGCAGTATAACTTTAGTGGTCTATAGATGTCGTCAACCACCTTCAAACCGGGTATGAACTTCTTTAGCCAGTTCACCTACCACGTTGCCTCATAACACGCTACAAACTCGGCATACATTGTGGGCGATGTAGTGACGGCTTGTTTTGAGCTTTTCCATGAAATAGCTCCCTCTGCGAGAGTGAACACATATCTAGACGTGGATTTTCTATCATCTCTCGCATAGTCGAAATATGAATATCCCACTATATGGAGCGAATCAGATCTTCTATATGTCACCATGAGGCCTTTCGTTCCTTGCAAATAACGCAAGACTTTCTTTACTAGTTTCCAGTGTTCTATTCCAGGATTGCTCTAGAATCTGCCAAGTAACCCGGTAACAAATGCCAAGTCAGGGCGCATACATACTTGAGCATATTACAATCTTCCTACAGCTGAAGCATATGGAACCGCTTTCATTTGATTAATCTCATATAGGTTCCTGGGACATTGAAAATCTCTATATCTGTCGCCCTTGACTATAGGAGCAGGTGAGGGACTACATTTGTGCATATTGAATTTCTTTAAGATTTTCTCTATGTATGCCTTTTGTGACAGTCCTAATACCCTTTACTTCTATCTCGGTGAATTTCGATCCCTAGAACGAACGAAGCTTCACCAAGATCTTTCATACAAATTTTGAGAACAAAAACTTCTTTGTCTCCAGCAGTAGACTGACATCACTACTAGCAAGTAAGATATCATCCACATATAGGACAAGGAAGATGAACTTCCCATTCTTAAACTTTGTATAGACACAACTGTCCTCTACATTCTCTTTAAACCCAAATTTTCTTATTGTCTGATCAAACTTCAAGTACCACTGTCTTGAAGCTTGTTTTAATCTATAAATGGATTTCTTTAGGCAGCATCCCATTCATTCTTTTTCTTCCATGACAAAACCTTTCGGTTGTGCCATGTAAATATTTTCCTCCAAGTCCCCATTGAGAAATGACGTCTTTACATCCATCTGATGTAATTCTAAATCATAATGTGCCACTAATGCCATTATGATTCTGAAGGAATCCTTACATAAGACTAGAGAAAAGGTCTCATTATAATCAATCCCTTCTCTTTGCGTAAAGCCTTTTGCCACAAGTCGCGCTTTATATCTCTCTATATTCACTTGAGAGTCAAGTTTTGTTTTGTAGACCTATTTACAGCCTACTGTTTTGGCTCCTTTAGGAATTATTTCCAAATCCCAAACTTTATTGGCATTCATAGATTTCATTTCATCTTCCATGGCCTCAAGCCACTTTGATGAATGATCACTTCTCATGGCTTCTTCAAATAAGGTGGGATCCTCCTCCATTTGAAATTTCTCAGTGTTGTACACTTCATAGTCAGCAGGAATAGCTAATTTTCTAACTCTTTGAGACCTTCTAGGGGCCTCCATATTTGGCACATCTTCTGTTTGAGGCTGTTGTTGCTCCCCCTCATGTGTGGCAATTGGTTCTATAGGATCCTGAAGAACAGGTTCTCATCGTCATTCATTGTTGCCACAGGCAGAATAACAACAGGTGCTGGCACCACAGTATCTTGTATTGTCGGTGTAGCGACAGCAGGTAGTGAGAAAAATAGCTCATGAATCATCGGAGTGGGCGTATACACCCGCTTCTCTTCAAGGTTAATTTCTCGAGCTACCATGCTCCCCCTCATCATTTCATCCTCTAAGAAGACATCGTGTCTCATTTTCACAAACTTTGTATGTCTGTCTAGATAGTAAAAACGAAAACCTTTTGACTTTTCTAGGTAGCCAATAAAATGGCAACTTACTATTTTGGGATCTAGCTTCCCAATGTTTGGGTTAAATACTTTAGCCTCAGCAGGACTCCCCCACACACGTAAGTGGTTTAGTGAGGGTACTCTTTCTGTCCACAACTCATACGATGTTTTGGGCACCGACTTACTTGGTACTCTATTGAGAATATGAAAGGCGGTTTTTAACGCCTCCATCCACAGGCTCATCGATAAGGTGGAGTAACTTATCATACTGCGCACCATATCCATCAGGGTACGATTGCACCTTTCAGCTACTCCATTCTGCTGAGGTTCGCCCGGTGTAGAATCTTGGGGCTACTATGCCATTCTCCTATAAAAACCTTGCAAAAGGTTTAGGAACTTGGCCATATGGGGTATGTCGACCGTAGTACTCCCCCCCACGGTCGGACCTGACTATCTTAATCTTTAAATTATGTTGGTTTTCAACTTCTGCCTTAAATATCTTAAATTTATCCAATACTTCTGTTCTTTCTTTAATTGGATAAATGTAGCCATAATGGGAGTAATCATCTGTGAATGTTATGAATGAATCATAACCATCAACACTCTTTACAAGAAAGGGACCACAGATGTCTGTGTGAATAATCTATAGAATTCCTACGCTTCGTTTGGCATCCTTTTTAATTTTCTTTACATACTTTCCTTTTATGCAATCTCTGCATTATTCTAAATCTGAGAGCTCTAATGAAGGAAGAATATTATTCTTAACTAGTCTTTCTATTCTCCCCCTCAAAATATGGCCTAAACGACAGTGCCATAATTTTGACAACGCATCATGAGCCCTCTTTCGTTTTCTGTTTACATCCGCAGACGAGGATACATTCACATTGTCGCACGCAATGTTCCCATTATCGCATACAACATTCACATCATCACGTAGTGATAACAAATAAAGCTTATTTTGTAAGATAGCAAGACCAACACATGCATCATTAAATGTTATCTTACATTTGCCATTTTCAAAATGGCAATCATATCCATCATTGTCCAAACATGAAACACTTATTAAGTTTCTCTGTAACGAGGGAACATAAAGAACATCTTTAAGTATAAGTTTCAAACCATTAGCAAGCTCTAGAGGCAGATCGCCAACGGCTTCAACTTCTGCTTGGACTCCATTTGCTACTTTAACGTGTCTTTCGCTTCTTTCCGTAGTCCTCATCGAACGGAATCCCTATAAAGAATTAGCAATATGAACAGTTGCACCTAGGTCAATCCAGCAAGTAGATTTCGAATACTGTATATACGGGGATTCATTTATGAACATAATAATGTTCTCACCTTTCTTTGCTATGATCATCTTTAAGTAATCGGGACAATTTTTCTTATAATGTCCCGTCTTCTTGCAATAGAGACATTGGTCTTTCTCTACTGTGAACTGGTTCTGCTGAGTCTTATGCA